ATCTGCAGGTGTTGAATGCATGCTTTGCTGTAAGGGATATGTGTATAATGTGTGTTGTGATGTGAATCCTAAACCTGTTATAAAATAGTGGATTAAACAAACTTGCTATTACTACCATGGTGTTGGCTTCTTTTCGACTTTTCCTCTTGCACCATAATGAGGTTAGCCTTTATGGTTTAGAGTGAAATAGCTTGACAACTATTGGAAGGATTGCCATGAAATTTGCCACAGATATTCAAGGCCTATGAGGATCTAGTGTACTAACTGCCTCCTTTTACTTTTTTGCCAATTCCACCAGCAGGCCAGGTTTTTTGCTTATTCAGGTAAATATCTCGAGATCTATGAAATGGCACATGATTTGGTATAGATACTTACGGCTCCCAGACAATATATTACCTTGTTGGTCCCTTGAACTCCTGCAGCACCACTACCGTGAGGTTGAATTTTTAGTTTTCTATTTAAATATGTCAATAACTACTGGATTGCTGTAAATTTGGTACAAACATTCATGGTCCATAGAGGATAAACCTTGATCTATGAGTGAACTTTGCTCAATGCTTTGGTTTATGACCAAACACCTGGAAAACTACATTCAAAACAGCCTGCTGCACTTTATATTTAATGAGATGCCCTCGAGATATGTTTTAATATATTTAAAATACTCAGCTTTGAATAGTAATTTGTGTCTGATATGGTTAGCCCATAAAAAAGATTAACTATATTTAAAACGTTTAAAAAGATAAATCAATTCCTTCTATAATGCTATTGGGCACAATATGTCCCCTGCTTCACTGCTAAGTCCATTATCTGTGTGTGAGGTTTCCACATCACAGTTGCTTAAGTTGCATGCTGGACCATGTATGTTCCAAACCATGTGTAATATTACAAATCATGCTCACACATCTTCACCTGAGTTTTAAGGGAGTAGAGAAACTTTCACCCTTCAGCAGATGAATGTGAAAACAGCAGTCTGGTGTCAAAGTCTACATCATTCTGCACCAACATCCAAGTAACACCACACAAAAGACATTTTTGAGTGAAGGGCGACTTCAAATCAAATCAATGCACCTGTGATTTGGTCTCTTTGAATATCTGTTAGTTGTCTTGTGTTGCTTTGAAAACTCGCATATCAAAGTAATGATTGTTAGGGATCTCTTTTACAGCGCATAAATGCAACTAATTGCCATGTGACCCACAGTGTTTGTAATTGTGATTAACCCACTTCAGAGCTAGTCCTTTTCAATGAGATGCTTTCATTATTTTGTCTTCCCCCGCGTACATGAAACAGTGTTTGTGACATGAATGGCACTTGAAACCAGACCTGTGATTACTGGAACTGGATTGCTATTGGAGCATATTCAAATAAAGCATTTAATTAATTTGTTTTCGTTCAAAGGCCACAAGGAGTACTACCACTTTAATTCATCAAATAGTTTCATTTTTTTGTTTAGATCTATAGACTAAGATAATCTTTTTTCTGTATGTTTTTTGTATGTAAAGCCTACTGAGGAACTGAGACAAAAACAAACAAGACATGAAATAAAAGTCGGTCCTTTTTTGATGTTATAAATAGGACAGATACTAATTAGGTATGTCTAATTACACCTAATGACTATGTTTCTTGGTTATGTTTGTGTACAAGATGGAGTTATGTATAGATAAATATTCACTGTGGTTAGCGACTGTATGCATTATTGGAATACTACATATTATTTGGAACCACCAGGCACAGAAATACCCTCTTCTTTAAAGTAAGTATAACACATTTACAAGTCTGAGTACCTTCACAGTCTTCTTAAGGGTTTATACTTCTGGGTGTCAAGAATTTTCTTTCATTTTTTCTTTTATCAATGATCAAAGAACCATCTGAAAGAGGATTTCAGGCCATGCGCGCTGAAGAATTCTTCATAACATATAATTCTCATCACAGAAATCCAGGTTACCCTAGGGTTACCATTTTTCATATTTTGTTTTTATACTGCATTGCATCCTTGTGTTCTGTGTATGTGGTGCATGTGTCATATGTCAAAATGGACTGACATATGACATGTGGCATAATGCTGTGATTTTTCTTTATTGCAGCTGTAAAAATCAGATGGCGAGACTGAAAGCCACCTGACTTGACTGCAGAAGATATAAATGTGACACAATACTCATACAGCCAGATGGGAATCGCTGTACTTCTAATAGATGAAGCCAGTCTTTTATCATTTGTCACATTTGCCAAAAAGAGATGAGACTGTCTGGCATCATCAATCAAAGCTGGAGTGGGCAGTAAACCCTCCTACTGCATCCATGTTTTTAGTGCACAAAGGAGGATACCAAACTTTGGTTGTGACATAACCTACAATACAGTACAATTAGTGTGTAATTCTCAAATGCTTTATTCATATTGTTCCAAACAGACTATTGAATATACGTCTTAATACATGTCTGGAGAGGATCTTTAAAGCTCATGTATTTAAGAGGCATGAAATGTGCTGTAACTGTAAAGATACTATTTTCTTTTTCTTATAATACTTTTGTTCCGCTATTCGTCTCCTCATTGTTACCAAATAAACCACACCCTTTGTGTCAGTCTCTCACTTGTAAGGCTGAAGTTTGTTTAGTCATATTGTTGCCTTGCACGCATGTCAAATAGGTTTCATACATCACAGCAAAGAGTATTAATGTCTATCTATGAGACGGACCTTACATGTGGATAGGATGTTAAAGGTTATAGTAAAGGTTGTTTTTACTGGTAGTAGGTAATAATCGCTACCTCTCACCATTTAATCAAAACTGCATTATGCCTGCATTATCCCTCATTTGTGAGGAATCTTCTCTCACCAATAAAGCTTAGTGTTTTTCAGTCTTAATATCTTGCCCTTTTAGTGCAGATTAGAAGGATTTATTTGTGGCACTTGACTTCCTATTTCTCATATCAATAGATTAATTAATTTAATTGCCAAGGATTAGTCCATATAAGTGCATATCTGCTGCCTCTGAACTGTAAAGCTACCGACAAAGACTTTTATTTGTACTATGTATTGTAAAATGTACCTGGAAACATGCTAAAATGTGCACTTTAATTTCAGTAACATTTATACTGAGTAATCAACAGAGGGCGCTGTTGCATAATTTCAAAAATAGGTCTTAGTTTTAATTAAGTATTTAACCTAGTATTTAATTAATTATGTATTATACTACTACAACTTCTACTAGCACAAAGGGAGGATTCATTATGGGAATTGAACCTGTGATGCTCCACTTGCAGGCTGTTTATTTGCCTGCACATGCGTGGCAGGTTTAATTAATGATAATAATCATAATGCTCATTAATAATTAATACGGGCAGCTGCAGTGGCAGCAGTGAAATGACAACAACATAAGGTGAAAGCTTGATAAGAGCTGAGCGTCATGAGAATCAACACTCCATCATTTCCACTTTACTGTATGAGCAGCAACCATTTATTATCTGAGCAGGAATGTCATTTTGCAGTCATTAAAACGATTTGTCATGCAGGTAATAATGGCTGTTTAGTGACTGAAGTCTTGTTATGTAGTAACAGACTCGTCTGGACTCCTGTGGGGAAACTCAAAGGGTGATGAAAATGACAAAATGAAGTTTGTGTGATGATCAGCATTTGATCAGCATCCTGACTCCGTAATGCAGTTATAAAGAGCAAAATACAACATGAAAGACTTATTTTAGATTAGGAAAAATAGCCAAAGGCACATAGCCTACAGTAGAGCACTGTATGAAGCAATAAGGAAAGACGTGGCCTGATCTGAAAATGAAAAATAAGTTGTTTATCTATGCAGAGATAGTGGTGGAAGCAGTACTCATTGTTCACTCAAATAAAAGCAGTAATACCATATATATATATATATATATATATATATATATACACACACTCAAGTGCCAGTAAAAATATTGCATAAAAAAATATATGAAAGTAAAAATACAAACATATTAACAACCAAAATGTGCCAGTATAAAAAGTAAAGGTACTCATTATGCAGAATGGCATCAGTCACTATTATATTATTGGTTTACTAATGTTATTATTTATGCTTTAACATTGTAATGTTGTAGTTGGCCAAGGTGGAGTTGATTTTAACTGCTTTATGTACTTTTGTGTAGTTTAATCTATAACAATGCATCATATCTTATGTGCAGTTAAAGTACCAAATCAACACTGTGAAAATACTCCTCGATAAGTATAACCCTTACTACTAAGTATCAGTAAAATATCAAAAGTAAAAGTACTCCTTATGCAGAAAAACATTCCTTCTCTGTGTTTTACTGTTTGCATTAATGTGTATGTTGCTTTTTACTGCTGCAGTTAAATTGAATAGCCTACTGTTCATCTACAGCATTGCATCATATTCTGTAAAATCATCAAACGTGAGAACCATGTATCTCTACAAAGTCAACTTTTCATGAGCTCAGAAACACAGCCCCCCCCCCGATTTTCAGCTAAGTGACAATGAATTTTTCCAGCTAATCCAAGAGGGCTTTTAAATAGTTTATTTAGCTTAAGCTGTAGGAGAATTTTCCCAACCCATAAAGGAACACTTAATCCTCCAGGTTATTACAAAAATGAAAAATGACCAAATTTTGAGATGCGACATGGTTTTCACAGGATGGGTGGGGTATGAAAAGTGGCTAATGGCAAATAAATGTAGTTTTAATAAAAAAGTGCAATATTTAGTGTAATAATAATGAAGCACAAGTCAGTACTTGAGTGCATGTGCTCCTTTATTTATCCTTTATTTTATCTCCCCCTCAGTAAATCCACCTCAGTCTCTCAGGAACAAGTATCACATTTTCATCTCCTGACTGGGGGTGGAGGGACTAACTTGTCCTCCCAGGTCCGGGTTGCATCATGCTTGGGAACTTTGCTCCAATGAGGGGTTTGCTTTGTGCTTTGTGGAGGGAGAGACACACACACACACAGAGAGAGAGAGAGAGAGAGAGAGAGAGAGAGAGAGAGAGAGCGACGGGTGCAGCGTTGCCACCACCAGGACGGGATAAAAAAAAAAAGACCCACAGCGAGCAACATCACCTGCGGAGACAGACGCTGGATTCCCCCCCCACCCCCAAACCCCCGGGGCTTTGGAAAAACACACACATCCTCCACGTTGCTGTGTCTGTTTTTGTTTTGTTTATTTTTTTTTGGTCAAGAAGGAAACCCTCAAGTGTCTCTCGGTTGTGTATTGTGAGTCAGAAAAAAAAAAAGAGGGCGCCCAAATCTGTCCCTCTTTTAGGACGGGACCTTTTTGAAGCTCAGAGCACCAACAATGGACTGCGTTTCCACCGGGAACTCACTCCTGGAGCCGTGCGGCACTCACACATGGGACCGTAGCGTTTCAAACCCAGACGACATCTGTCTGTGTAGTTGTTGAACAGTGTTTACCGTGGTGGTGGGGGTCGGGGGTCGTCGGTTGGTGCCCGCCATGCCTGCGAGGAACAGGTACAACCTGGTGGACGATCTGGCGGACTCGAGGGTGCCGCTCCATAACGAAGAGGCGTACCAGCATGGGATTCATTTCCAAGCCAAGGTGAAATGAGCGTTATGTTTTCTGTGCATGTGTTTGGGCACTGTTTGGGTGTTTTGGAGCAGGTGCACTGAGCCCTTTTCAGGTGGGAAGTTTGGACGCATGGCCGTGGAGGCTACCCACACACACACACACACACACACACACACACATTTACACATGTGGTTTAAGGCTTGCATGTCTGATGGAAAAAATGCACCTTATTCCCTTCAAACTTTCATTTTGCATCACCTTACAAAAGTGGGTTGATGTCCTTATATCTGATGCTGAAAAGTGACCTTAACTGAGTGTATTTTCAGGTTTTTTCCCACCCCAAGTCATTGAATTATTAAACTCTCAGGAAAGCTGCTAGACTGTATTCAGTTTTTAGTGGCTCTGTTCACCAATCTGTAACTTAATCTTGAGCTCCACTGTTTCACATCCACTAGCCTATAATAGCTCTCAATTCATGTTATGGGTTGAGCAGGAAACACACAGCACAGTCGTGGAAAGGGTTAAAACTAAGGGAGTGTTACTGGTCCAAAGTTCAATCACAAGGCTGCTTGTATCTTATATGTGATTAGGACAGCAGTCTCATCTCAGTTTGTCCTAATACGTCTTTATCCCACTGAGTGTCGTGAGCACAGTCACATAGGAAATCAATGACTGACAATTTCTTCCATACTTACAAAATAAAAAACACTATGCTGAATATAATCTGACGGCAGGTGGGACACACACAGAAAGATGCACACATCACACACATCCATCCTTGTAAATCAGCATATACTCTACATATTATGCAATAAAATAAATATAAATGTATAAATACACCATGATGTGTGGAATGAATACAGGTAAATAAGCTTAAAGCCGACAAATACAAATTATTAATTAAACTACTCATTTATACGCCCTCAGACCATTTGCAGTGTTCAGAATAATAGTAACAACAACAGAAACATGGTCCTTAAAGCCCCTTAATTACACAGCCACAGTTCTTTTGTTAGCTAGACTTTTATAAAACACATTTAAAATCATTTTGTCCTAAATAGAGAAGCACTAGTTGCCCCAATTTCAATAAAAATATTTGGTTTACCTTGTATGAGTTAATCTTTCTAATAGGAACACACTAAAAGCATTTTTTTAGAGGGTTTAGGTAGTTTAGTTGTTCTTTCTATAGGGCTTGGATCACCACATATAGTGGACAATGAGTAGGCAGTTTTTGCCTTTATAACAGTCTAAAACAAAATCTTATAAATGAGCTTGGACCTCACTTTGGGAGCTGATGGAGTTGAATAAGCTGCACACTCAGCGGCTGTGATCAGTCACAGCACTTTGTGGGAATAGCTATTGATATAACATATACTATGATTGAGTTTGTTACGTATGATTATGGCAGATTAATTGTGCAGCTGTGGTGTGTGGGCTAATATCTATGACTCTTGCTTGTTAAACTACAGTATGTGGGGAGTCTTGACGTGCCCAGGCCCAACAGTCGGATGGAGATTGTGGCAGCCATGAGGAGAATCAGGGTAAGATGAAATCATTATGTCATGAGTATTTAAGACCAGAATCGCACACACACACACACACACACACACACACACACACACACACACACACACACACACACACTTCTTCAGGCCTATGGTGATTGTTCTGTGATGGAGTACAGTAAGTATCTATACAATAACACAGTAATCACACACAAAATACAAAGAGTGTGTGGCTGTCAGGTGATATTTGTTTTATGTTAGGATGTAGTGACGCACTCACTGGCTCGACAGCAGAACACGTCTTCTTGGAAATGCAATGCAGGGGTGAATTTTGTAGAAAGAAAAAGCAATAAGAGAGAGGTGGATTGTGTGGCTCTTTGCTGAATAGTACATTGTCCTTTCTAGGTATGTTTGAGAGAGTTGAAGGACATGTGTGTGTGTGTGTGTGTGTGTGTGTGTGTGTGTGTGTGTGTGTGTGTGTGTGTGCACACATCAGACTGTGGCTTATTGCGCTGTGTTGAGCTGAATTTTACAATTCAACCTTTTTAGTACTTAGGAGTTTAATTTGTTTTATCTCTGTCACCCTGTATACACTCTTTTCCTCGTTGTTATTCGCACTATCATATCATAGTCAGGCTTGGTGGTTTTTTTTTTTCTCCATAAAGCTATATCAGTAGTGTTACTATGGGGATCATGTAATCATTTTTCCCTCTCATTGTCCCAGTAGGCCTCCAGAAGCTAACACAGAGCCGTATCACAGTGCCGGGGTGGTTCTGTAATTTAAGTGTGAGTCACTGGACGAGTTTGGTTCAGACATGACAAGGCTCTTAAGCCTAGGCGAATGTGCGGAAAAGAAGTGTGTGATTTAATTTTTTTTGAGGTACTAAAAAGCCATAATGTGCACGTATCCTCAGAACAACGCATTAGTTTTGAGGCACAATATGCAAACTTTTTTTTTAACCATTTTAGGGAATCCGAGCCCCTCTTTGTTTTGGCTCCTGTCTTAAAGAGTGTTTGTTGGTCGCTGCTGTGTTGCTTCAAGTGTGAAACTTAGTGTGTATCAAATTAGAGGAACCCCCGCTGATCAAAAGAGATATTTTTGGCAAACTGAACCCATCTACAAAAGTAGGCTTATGGTACAGAGACAAAGCCAGACAGTTTATGAGTCTGTGTGTGAATGGGCTGAGTGTGCATATAGCGGCTGTTATTTCCTTGTGATTCCCAAATGGACCAATCAATAAGATTGTAAAGCAAACATGATCATCGAGGTGATCCACTGCAGGCTGAGGCAGAGGCAGAGCATGAAACAGCAGGTACAGGCAGGCAGGGATTTATTGCTACAAGAAACAAAAAAATCTCTCTGATAGAAAAACATAAATCAAGTGGTTTTTACATCAAATTGAGATCCATTTATCAGCATGTATTTATATGATGTTCCTATTTAAAAATACACACAGTGCGTCATTATTGCCTTATTATGTCTGCGTGTGTGTTCACGTGTGGGGTTTGTGTGTCTCTTTATATTTAGTTCCCTTGAGGCCAAAAGAAAGCCTTGAATGAATAATGAATGAGTTAGTGTATTTTAGTTGTAACCCTCAGCCTATTGTATAGAATATCTTTGTTTTTAAAGGGCTGATGAATGAAGTATAACCCTGCTTTTATAGAGTCCCCTGCGACGAATGTAAACAGGAGAGTGTCTGATAGGAAGGACCAATCTATATAAAAAAATAACTTCTTATTTATTCATTTGTCATGTGTGTTTCATGCAATCGCTGCTGACAGTGACTAGAGAGATGTTACTATTTATAGACTTGTGTTATTACTCTGACCGGTGGATGAATCTGGTTTGTACTGTGTCATGTCATCTTTGCTGTTGAAGCTTAAAGTGAAACTACATCATTTTTATTGAACGGCGGCCAAAAGTGGGAATCGCACGATAATGGAAAAAGGAATTTCCCTTCGTTTTCATTTTCTTTTTCATTTTCTTGAGTCAGCTGCTCTAAAGTCATAAATAGTACGTCCTGGTGGCCTGAACTGTCTCAGTAATGCAGTGGTTCTCAAACCTTTTCTGGCATGCCTTCCTTCAGAAACCACACAAATATTAGCACAGTATCATCAGCAAACTCTTGAGGCTCACCCAGAGCCAGTGCAGTAATGTCACTTAAACAGCAACAATATCTACCTAAAGCTGCTAACTAAAGCTAGCGCACACTAGCCATTACAAGCTACTGGTCATAATAAACCAAGTAAGACTGTAGCAGCAAGACTTCAAGTATATTCAATTGACCAAGGGTGTGTTTTACTGCTTATGAGTTCCACTTCATTTGTAAGAGGAAGATTGTGTTTTTCAGAATTTAACCCAATGGTCTCGTAGTGGAGTGGTTTGGGTTGGTATGTCTTATGCAAGTGTTAGTAGACCTGCTGTTTGTGCTGCCTCGGTTTCAAACACATGGGAGTAAAGACTGCATTTTTGTGCCAAGCACTTCTTTTTCGGGTGAACCCTCTCACACTGTGCCTACACTGCATGAATGCAAACACATGAGCATTTTAGAGGGCAGGCGCGTGCGTTTAGGGTTGGTTGCCAAGTCAAATGTAATTAGCTTTGTGTAGATGAACATTGACTGGCCTTCCTGACTTTCTCTTCATCTCTCTTCACAAAAGCAAAGGCCTCGTCTTTAATTTAAAAGCGCAACCCTTTAGCCGAGGGACTGTGCAGAGACTCTACGGAGTTGAGTGTGATTAAAGGGAGTGAGGAATGAACTGATGGCAGTGGGAGGAAGACTTTAGGAGGAAGTCCTGGAAGCTGGAGGGGCTGCATGGTGGCTGGCAGAGCCGTAGTCGTTTCATCTCCCTTGGCTAATCTCTTTAGTCTCAGTCGATGTGAGGGAACAGCAGCAAATATGAGAAGAGAGAGAGAAAGCAACACAGGCTGATCATCTCTGAACAAACAGGGAATCTGGGTTTGACAAAGCAGAGGAGCTGCACTGGTTGAGTCAAGTCCACAGCCGTTTTACACCTGCCATTCCCACAGCGACACAATTTTGTATCCTGTGGATCTTTTCAGCGATGTGTTTTGGTAAACCTTCTCCCATTATGGCTGACTGGTCCTAGTGTGTTGGTTTTATAAGAATTTGTTTCATTCAGTTTGACCGGTGGCATAGAAACCCCCCAAGTGGTGTGCTAGTGTCTTCACACACAGATGTAAGAATGTGTGTGTGTGTGTGTGTGCATGTGTGTGTGTGTGCGTGCGTGTGTGAGTGAGCTCCAGTGCTCCATAATAGATAGCCCCCTCGCATTCTAACAACCTCCGCAATTGATTAACGAGTAATGACAAAGGCTGGCGTTGCTGCATCCCACATGGAGAGATGTGGTGTAGTCGTCCACAGCTCGCTGCCTCAAAAAAGGACGTGTGGTGTGTGTGGAATTTCCCTGGGAAACAAACAGGCACTATTTACAGGAGGCCACTGTCTCTCTACAAAAGGAAACAACTTTAAGGCTATTCTCTCTTCAGTCATTCCCCTTTCTCTTACTCCCTTATTTCCAACCCCCCTCCCTCCACTGCTGTTTTCTTTTTATCCCCTCACTCCCCTTTCATACTCCTACCAAAATAGACTGTCTCAATTTAGCCCATCTCTCCCATCTACTCAGTGCTGACAGGAATAGATTTTAGGCTGAGGGCAGGCTATGCATACTTCCCTTTGAATTTTGATCGGCCGTAATGGGATTTTAAGCCCCCCCCTCATATGTCCGTCAGGATGCAGCCTCCTTCCTCAGACTGCCAAGAGTCTTGCTGGAAATTACATGGCTCTCTTCTTTCTGCATTTGTCCCTGTGTCTGTCTGGAGCATCCTATGAGAAGATCTGTCTGCCGTGCGAGAAAGAAGGAAACCATGTTATTTGGTTTCTCCATTTCAGTATGAGTCCATCAAGTCTGTGTCAGTCTTTTGAGAGCATGCTGAGCTGTCATGACTCTGACTGTCAAGAGGGATGTAGGGGGAAAACAGGCACTCCGGACCTGTCAGAGACAGAACAGAAATGTTTGTACTACCTTAGTTTCACTTTGTGTCCTTTTGTGCCTCTATGCTTAAGACTTTACTCAATCTTTGGACAGAAAAACTATTTGAGATTTTGAGAAGCAATGAGAGTTACATAATGGTAAACAAGTAATAATTGGGAGAGAAATATTTGTATGAAATCTTCCAGTTGCCAATTTTGTCAAGAAAAACCTCTTACAACTGCCAAATCAAAGCACACATGTTTGTTATTAACCATTTTGTTTCTCTTCTCTATGCTCTTCCACCTGTCATTCAACTCAAACAACACTGTGGCAGCAGTCAACTTATTTGGCAGCTGCCAGTATAAATAACGTCCACCAGAGAATCAGAGAAATGGCCATGTTTCACTTCCTCTTGCTATCCTTTCTGTTTCTCTCTATCTTTCACTTCATTCTTAATGGTCAGAGTCTGGCAGCTAGCCATAACAAACGCTTACCCATGCCTGAAGGCTGCAGAAGACACAACAACACACACAGATTTGTGATAACATCACATATGACTATGCATGAGTATGAAATGCACAAATGAGGCATTTTATTCTAAACCCACAGTAGAGCCAAAGTTAGAGTTAACACAGATGACAATCAAACAACATGAACATGAGGAAAACTAAACAGGAGTCAGGACCCAATAGACAATTCTTAATTATCAGTGAATCACATTTTTGCATAACAATTACACACGCTGCATGTCCCAGAAAACCAGGAGAGAAATGAGAGCAGAGCTTAACTCCAGGGGGGTTACAGATCTATAGCAGTGGGGGCGGCTGGTCGGGTGTTGTTCTGTGTCTGCACTTTATGTGTGAATGAGGGATATGCTGTATTTAGGGAGACATGACACATATCTGGGGGGGGGCATTGTTTTCACTTTGTATTCATGTTAGCTTAATGGCAGATGTACAAGAGCATAGTAGGTGACCTATATGTGTACTGGATTAGATGTGATTTTTGGGCTTGCCTTTGTTTATCCAAAACCCCCCCAG